CCCGACCACACCTACTACTTCACCCACCCGGGATTTGTTGTCATCACCACCAGTTTCCCTCCTTTCCGCCTTCTTCTCCCGTATCATCAACTCAGACTTACTTAGTGTTGTTCCGTGGCCGGCCATAGCCCCCTATTGGCCCGATATGTTTTGCGTGAACTGTCGACATAGCGGCGAACAGAGAACTCCGAAATTCCGAAGGCCCAACCCAGGTACGCGGCGACCGGCGCCACGTGGCGGCCCCCGACGGCCTAACTCTTCGGGACCGCCTCCACCGCGGAGGGATTTCCCCGTAAACCGTCGCCCACAGTGCCCTGGCCCCATTGGGCCTTGAGTCCCCTGCGCATGCGCCCCCCCCCTTTTCCGCCCAATTGCATTCATATCCTTAAGACTCCCCCACTTTCCCAAAAATCCTTGGCACACCCCCTTTTCGCACTTCCAGGCCCATACTCTACTCCGATCAGGAAGCCCGACACGTGGCTAGGGTCTTAGGATTGGTAGCACGATAATTAGGCGACCTGGCTAACCGTGGGCGACCTCGCCCTCGGAACGCGCCTAGACGCGACCCTATAGTCACCAGAAGCAGAGCGGCTAACCGACGAGCAGCCAATATGGCTGCCAACGTGCAAAATCCGGTTCCGCAACAAAATGCTAATCCACCTAATCAACCTGCCCCACGTGCACGAGCTCCCATGTCGCCACCAAATCTCTATCTATTTGATCCGGCGCACCATCTCGCAGGAGCATGGCTGGCCACGCTTAGAGCACAGCAGTACGATGATCACGAAGCAAAGATCAACATTCCGGCTCGGATGGGAGGAGACGCTCATCATTGGTATAGTACCTATGTATGGGTGGATCTCCCGACTTTTGAACAGGATTTCATGAACCGATTTGATTAGGTTCACCCTCAGCAGGCATTGTACATGATCAAAGACCGAGTGCAAAAACCGCTCGAATCCGTTGCTGAATATCGAAACCGGTTGTATAGGATGTTCGTAAAAACTGAACGAGGTGAGCAAGTAGGGAGAGATCTGTTCATTGACGGACTCCGCAGTCGAACAATAAGGACTAAGTTGCGAAAGCAGTTTTCCCCCATCACTCATACGCTACAACAAATTATGGTTGTCGTGGAAGAAATGGAACGGAAGTTCGCAGCGAACTTCCTGGAAGGAGAAGACTACCCTAGAGACGGAGATTTGACCGAGCTCGCACGAGCGAGAGCAGAACTGGTTGCTTTGCAGAACAAATTTGAAAACATGGGATTTGTATCAGGACCTGTCACCTATATGGAACAGATAGGCCCCAAACGAGCAGTTCTAAGTGAGACTCCGAGCATCTCTGCTCCTATGATGCCCCCGCCCGTCAGGGCATTACCCCCGCCGCCAGTTGAGGCTCCTGTACGATCAAACGAATCAGCGGCCATTTTCGAACTAACCAAAACTTTGATCAGTTTGATCCAAGAAAGCAAAAAGGAACAGCGAGAGCACAATGCTCGGCTGGAAGCCATGATCAGGAACATGCGACCTATTGCGGTGCGTGCCCCTCCGATGCAACAAGGATTAGCCCCCGCCCCTGCTCTCGGAGGAGCTGCGAACAATCTGAATGTTTGTTATGCCTGTCATCAGCCCGGACATCTAGCCCGTGATTGCCCCCAACCGACCCCCGCAACAGCGGATCGGAGTCGCACCTATGGCTGCGGCCCCCATCGCCAATGGACCTGGACGAGTCGGAGCCTTGATGGAAGAAGTAGAGGGTGGGGGAAGTGCCTTGGCCACCACGGAAGAGGCCGCCGAGCTAATTCCGCTAGATCAGTATGTGTCGGTGGGATATCCTGGACTAGGAATGATCGGAACAATCAGACCAGCACCAGAACCGAAAGAAGTGGCGGAGTGGCGACCGTCCTTAGGAGAAATGGAGTCGGGAGGACCCACCTTCGTCACAGGAGAGATCGATGTATTAAACATTATCCGAGCTTTGGACCATCGGATTCCACTACCGATCGGTCATCTACTCTCGATCTCTGAGCAAGCCAATGAGCGAATGCTACAGCATTGCAAAGCAAACCGAAAGCGATTTGCCCTCACCCGAACACCAAGTGCCAAAGCCAAGGGCCCCGTGCCGGAAGAAAACCCAACAAGCACTCCGGACCCAATACGGGTAGGATTAATTCAGAAAGACGATCATTTCTTACGGATTAAACCGATTCCGTGGAAATCTGCAGAATGTGATATTGAATTTTGGGGAATTCCTTACAACGCGGTTATAGACTCAGGAGCAATTGTGTTGGCTATTTCGCTAAGAGTAGCCGAGAGGGCAGGAAGGAAGAACGACCTGATCATGCTCACCGAGAAAGATCAGCTCGTTTCGGCAGATGAGGAAAAGATTAAAATTGTGGGGAGAATGACCAATGTCGCCTTCCGATTAGGTAAAGTACACGCGCTTGGGGATGTCGTAGTACTAGATGTTAATACGTACGACGTTATTTTCGGACTTCCCGCTCTTGTGGCGTTACGAGCAAACCTGGATTTCGAACGACGATCGATCGTCCTCCGAAATACAGGAGGAAAACCCTACACGGTGCCCATGCGATTGACCCTTCGCACTACTATTAACGCGGTCTCGCGGGTCTCGCCGATGATGGCGGGGACTCTCCGCATGATCTCCTGGAACGAACCTGCAGAAGGGGAGCCATCAACTGATGATGCGGAAAGCAGTGACGAAGATGATCCAGAAATCTTGAAATTGGTACGACAACGCGTTTATTACCCGCCGCCCAAAACGATAGCGAGAACGATGCAATTGACCAGCCGAAAAATTCAAAGGACCAAGTCGATGATCTTGGGAGAGCCCCTCGTGCAGATTTCGAGGATGGTCGACTCTTTGGAACCCCCTCAAACTCTGTACGAAGGGATCACCCCTCTCCTCACTAGGTATAGCGATAAAAAGCATTATTGCGACATTACGGAACTACCTAGTTCTTTACTAACAATGGCTAAAGAAGTGAGATTGCTACGCCTAGGGGCGGAAGCAAGCTTTCTGGAACCCCCTGGGCGTTTTGAAGCAGAAACAGACGGGTTGGGGATAAAGATTGCAGCCAAGGAAGTGCCATGGCAGGATGTTTGCGACGGGATTACCCCGGAAGGACACGTGGCAATCCAGGAAGAAGATGCCCAGATGATGGCCACGGTGTTCTCCTGGCGATCGGATCATTCATTCATCTCGGCGCCTCCACCCGACTTGACAAAACAGGCGAACACGAAACAGATTGACGTTCGGATCTGGAACCAACTTTTCGAACTGCAAGTTCCACAATATGTGCCGGAAGAAATCCACCAGGTAATTGCGGATATTCTAACGAAATACCAAGGAGCAATTAGTGTGTCAGACACTGACATCGGATTGTCATTAGTAATCCAACATGAAATTCAGACAGGAAATCACTCCCCGATTCATTGCAAACCTTATCGCTATTCCTTGATTGAACGCAAAAAGGCTCTCGAACGAATTCGGGAGTTCGAAGCCAGTGGTTGGATTGAACCCGCTACCGGACCTTGGTCCTTTCCCGTAGTACTAGTGTCGAAGAAAAACGGGGCGATTCGCATTCGCATTGATTATCGCAAGCTGAATGAAATCACGATCAAGGATGTGTATCCCCTCCCCCGGATTGATGACTTGTTGGATGCGATTGGGTGCGCTAATTATTTCAGCAAGTTTGATATTCGGCATGGCTTCCATCATATTCTGGTAAGGGAAGAAGATCGATCGAAAACGACCTTTGTGTTGTTTGAAGGCACGTGGCAGTGGGTTCGGTGTCCGATGGGGATTTGCAACGCGCCTGCCACATTTCAGCGAGCGATGAACATGACGTTCTAGAACTTCATCAACAAGACACGGCTGACGCAAGGGATGATCAACTTCTGCGTGATCGTGTACATGGACGACATCCTGGTCTACTCGGAAACCTATCACGGGCATGCGCAACACATCGAATGGACATTGGGTGCATTAAGAGACGCGGGGTTCAGAATTTCGCTTGATAAGAGCGAATTTTTCCTTCTTGGGCTATGTCGTGACACGTGGAGGACTACGACCAGACTCGAGAAAAGTTGCGGCGGGGTTCAAAATTTCGTTCTTGGGCTATGTCGTGACACGTGGAGGACTACGACCAGACTCGAGAAAAGTTGCGGCGGTAAAGGAAGCTCCGGTTCCCACGTCACTGACGCAGGTTCGAGCCTTCTTGGGACTAGCGTCGTATTACCGGCGCTTCATCAAGGGCTTTGCCGCGATTGCACGACCACTAACGAATTTGTTACGGAAGGACCAACCTCTCAGTTGGGACGCGGAGTGTCAGCAGGCCTTTGCAACCCTCAAAGACGCTCTGGCCACGACCCCTATTTTGATTCGACCGAACCCCTCGAAGCAGTTCATTCTCATCACGGACTGGCAACCGGAAGCCATTTCCGCTATTTTAGCACAAAAGGGGAACGATGGTCGCGAACACGTCATCGAGTACGCGTCTCGAACCGTACCGGACGAACGAAGAAACGACTCCTCACCTCAAGGCGAGTGCTATGCGATAGTTTGGGGAATCCAACACTTCCATCCGTATCTCTACGGACAGAAGTTTCGCCTTGTAACGGATCACAAGCCTCTGCTGGAATTGAAGAAGCTCACCAACTACACAGGCGTGATTGGCCGTTGGGTGGTGCGATTGCAAGAATACGACTTCGATATCGTCCATCGAAAGACAGAGCGACACGGCAACGCGGACGGGCTGACACGTTTGCATCGACCTGCCAAGGTACCAAAGGGCGAGGACATTACACCGTGGAAGGAGCCGGATTTGACCAACGAGCCTAAGTACGGACAGGTGGCAGTTCTTTCACGTGGCAAGAAGTAAAGCGGTGGCGATGGGTGATGGAGGTAACCCCACTACCCCTCTTTCTCCCCCTTCCTCTTCGTCTCTCCTCTCCTTGCCTAACAGATTTTGCTATTTTTGCGAAGCTATCTCCCGTGTATACGCGGTCTCCATGCGTCCTAACGGAGAAGGGTATGCGGATTGGATAGATTGCCGACAGTGTGTTGCACGAGCCCATGGCTCGTGCATCCAATACAGAAACGATAGTAAACCCTGGTTGTGCCCCTTGTGCCGGACAGACAAGATTCCGACTGAGGCCCGCTTTTTGGATGCCACGCTAGAAGGATTGGAAAAGACCCGGAGGTTTAGAAGGCCCGAAGTATGGACGGATATTGCCTTAATTGCCACCCTAGTAGGTAACCCCCTCCAGGATTTCACCAAAGAAGATCGGAGGAGGGCCAACGAAAGGGCTCGGTATTATCGATGGATAGAGGGTAGATTAGAAAAATGAAAAACGGACGGAAGTGGGATTTGGATGATAGTACCGCATCCGTTCATGCGGTATGACTGGGTTAAGACAACCCACGAAGAAACTGCGGCCCATTTTGCCGTACGAATCACGGAGTCCGCTATCGACAAAAATGAGTGGTATTGGTCCAATATCCACGACGATGTGAAATACATTGTCGCCAACTGTCATGTCTGCGCCGCTGACAAGGCGCCGATCCAGCCGCCCAGATCGATAGTGCCCACGGTTGTTGAACGGTTCAATCCTATTGGTATTTGTCGACCATTTCTCAAAATGGATTGAAGCGTATCCTTGTCGCACGCGGCAAGCCACGAAAATCGCACGATGTGTCAACCGTTTCCTCGGGATGCATCAGGATACGGAAGAGATCCTAACTGACAACAGGGCTGAATTCCGGGGAGAAGTGTTAAAGAACCTGGTCATACATGGCGTCGCCATACGAAACACTGCACCCCACATGTCACAATCCAATGGGCTGGTCGAAAACGCTAACCGGGTGATAAAGACAACATTGCGACGAAACATCGTGGCACGGGATCCGAGGCCCTGGCCCGATATCGTCGATCACATCCTGGCGGTCCATCGCGGAACGCCCCACGAATCAACGGGGTTAAGCCCCTTCCAACTAAGGACCAATAGAGTCGCTTGCGTTTTGATACCAAGCCTCCCAGATGAGTCTACATTGAACCGACGACCCACTAGGGCCACGGCTAGGGACAAGGCCAAGCGGCACCTAGAGCTAATGGAACGGTCACTGCCCAGGCTAGCCCGAAAACGACAGAAAATGACCGAACTAGCCCAAGGCCGACAGGTCGGGAGCTACGAAGCCCGAAATGGGAATGCGGGTCCGCGGCCCCAGTACAAATTGGGGGACGTGGTGCATGTGAGGAAATGTGCTCGCCAGGGCAAGCTAGCGCCACGATTCTTCGGGCGATATCGCGTGATCGAGCTCGGCCCCAACGGCATGGACACCGTGCGCCTCGCCCCTGAAGTCTCTGGCAGTCGATCGGCTCGTCCGATCACACGCCACGTGTCCTATCTTCGCGTCCTCCCCTCTGCTCCGACTCCTTCTCCCTCTTTTTCGCTCTCTAAGGAAGCAGAGGACGACGGCTCTGCCTCTTCGGCATCTCCCTCTCCCTCTCACTCCCTCTCTGCCTCCCCGTCACCATTACCATCGCCATGAGTTTTCTGGAGGAGAGAGCCCTCAGCGAAGCAGCGCTTGCGCCCCGTGATCGATTGACGATCCGGCAAGTCTATCATCCCTACCTCAGTCCAGACCTTCGGCGGCTTCCGCACTTCTTCTGCACGGAAGGCGTGTATGCAGCGGCAATGTTCATAATCGAAGGTCGGCCCAACGCAGTAGTATTGGCCGAGGCGGTAGCAGTTCATCAGCGAGCGGTGCCAGGTGTCAGCCGCATATCGGTCGTCATCAACTTCCGTGGCGATCTCTCCACGCTCCTTCCCTTACGACATTCAGCAGTAAAGGCGTCGTTACGTGCGTGGGCAAACGATCTGGTTGCCGAGTGGACCCAGCTTCTGGCTCGTCCCGTGGACACGGTCGCGGCGACGTGAGCAATCGAATATGACGGCCTTCGGGTGTACCAGCGTGATCCACCGACGGTTCTCCCTGTTGTTGTTCCCTTCCCTCGCCCCCAATGAGTCTCTCTCCGATCTCTATTTTTGATCTCCCCTCCACCTTCCCCACCTTCTGGCAGTCCGACGCCCATCCTCGCCTTTCCTACTATCTAATGACCCTTGCTGTCCCCGACATTCGTCCCCCATATTGGGACCTGTGGCGCGAAGACTTCGTAGAGCTTTCACTGTGCTTGGTCGAAGTACGGCTGACGTGGATCGAGGACGAAGCGCACCCGCCTTGCATAGAGTGGCTGGAGTTGCTGTTTATCCAGGCTTGGCGCACCAACGTGGAGGGAGAGCTCCTCGCATTCTTATTCGATGCAGTACGGCCCGACCATCAGGAACTTATCACGCAAGAGCTCACGATCCCGACAGCGCAGCTGTCGGACGACCTCCCTCTTGACATCATCTCGCAAGACGATGAGCATCCAGTTCCCCATGTTCTTTCTCGCACCTTGACACCTCATCTTCAGTGGTCGGCTTGCGTAGAAGGAGCCGCGGAACGCATCCCGCCGTCGCAGCGACAACATTTGGATCCCCGGGCGATTCGTGACCCTGCCTTCTTCAGGCAGCCTACGGAACAGTTTGCTGCCATTCGGGAGGAAGAGGAGGAGGAGGAGAGTACTGGGAGCGACGAAAACGAAGGTGGGCTGGAAGAAAGCGGGGGTAGCGAAGAAGTATCCGGAGAAAACGAAACCCCCGAAGAAGGAAGCTATAGCGAGCACAGCGAGGGGGAACAGAGCGAAAAAGAAGAAGATGACGAGGAGGAAGACGAAGGGCACGAAGAAGAATCTGCTGGATCAGAGTGGGAAGCCGTGCCGGAAGAAACGCTGCGCACAGGTACAGAAGCAGAGGACCCCGAGGCAGCCCGTAAAAGAGAGGAGATTGCGGTCGGGAAGACGGAGTTAGAACTTGCAGGCGCGGCGAGTCTGCAGATCTGCGACGACCCGAACCGCGATCCGGAGCCGCCCCGACCTGAAGATGGCAACCTCGCGACCACGACTCCGGCCCCATCGGCACGGCGACGAAGCCGATCCCCCTCCTCCCCAACCCGTCCCCCAGTTCGCCGACGTACCGATACGGGCGATCGGCCTTCGTCCCCGATCACTCTCTCGCCGTCCCCTTGACTACCTCACCCTTCGCCAGCTCACCACCCCCGTCATGTTCCCCTCCAATCCGTTCCCCCTCAGTACCTTCCTCCACTTCTACGCCGCTCACCTCGCTGTCGTAGTGCCCATCCCTCCCTCCGGTGCGCCGTCCCGGCCTTTTGCCTCCATGTCTTGCTTTTCAGTGCCGCGTGGCGAGGCCACAATATGATTGAGGTTTATTGCATGATAACGGGGACCATCCCCGCATGCAAAGATCGCGATCGTTTCCGTGTGGCGCTCTTCCGAACCTTTACCACCCTCTACCCCGACTATCTCGCGTCCCTCCCTCGCACAGGCAATCGATTCCCCCGTTTCCATCGCATTGTTCGTTACCGGGAACTCCCGGAGACTGTATCCGGAATGGAAAGTCTCCTGCCCCCGCTGCCCATAAACCCTCCACCCCGCCATGCCGCCATGTATCGACTTCCCTTCCCCCTCCCCGTTAATTACTGATGCAACAAGTAATGGACGCGTGTCGCGGCGACGACACGAGAAAGGTCTCGTCCTTGAATCGTAATTGGCCCAATCTGAGGAACTAGTAGAAGAGCAATGTTGCCACGATGGATGACGTCCACACGCAATCGAACGGTAAGTGGCATAAAGTGAAATGCTCCGCGTGTCGATCGATTAGAAAAATCGACACGTGTCAACAAGCAAGCAGGAGCTTGCTAATATTGGAACCCCCTGGGCGTCACATATGTGACGAACCACTTTATGTAACGCGCGATTTTCTGCGCGGTTGCAACAGGGGGTCCTAAACTGGGAAGACTGGACCACTTTCGGGAAATCGGGATCGGTGGAAATTGCATCAGTACCCTTGCTTCTTCGTCTTTTTCGTCGCTTCTTCGGGGCTGGGTGTGTCCGGGGACGGCCGGTTGGGAGATTGGTCGGATGGATGTATGGATGTCTGGCGCGCCACCACGCGCGCGATTAATAAATGTTGACGTCGTTTCTTTCGTTTCGGGTTCGATCTTTTGGGCGCGGACATCGCGCGGGAAATTGCTTCGTTCTTTTGAATT